TCCATAGACAAAGAGGCTCCAACAGATGACATTCTGGGACTGGACAGACTGGCCAGAACAAGGCGCTGCAGTGACTTCAGGCAGATATTCCCTTCTCAAGCAGGATTGGTTGGGAGCACTTGACCTGGGTGACACCACAGACTGAGGCCCAATAGGCTAGCCCTAATCAAGTTCCTACGCCTGACAGTGCACCCTAAGCAGTGAAGCCTTCAGTAGGTTGATCTGGAGTGGCGGCCCAGCATAGGCTGCTGAGTGTGTACCTCCTACACTGCAGTGGGCAGAACCACCTAGTCAGCATGCTTCAGACAAACTGAAACCAACAAAGAAAGAAACTGGGCCTCCTATGTATGCCTGTGTGGAAGGAACAAAAAATATGAGAAGAGGAGGCAACAAGAAAGGGTCCTCAGTCCCCAGTCCTGAGAACACTGATCCAGGAAAGGTAAATGTAAAGGAGAATGAGGACAGAAAACATGCAATATCAGGCATGGCACCAATAGACATAAAGTGATATCTTTGGGACCTCATAGACAAGTTCAAAAGTGAAGTATTTAACCAAGTAAAGCAAGATATAAGTAGAATAATTAAAGAAATGCTAAGCATCTCCCAAGAAAAAACAGATGGTAGAATGGAAGAACAAAAAAGAAGGGGAGAATTGTTTGATGGAGAAAATAGAGAAAACATAGAATACATGAAGCAGGTTCAAGGAAGAGATTCAAGGAATCAAGGAATCATGAAGAGATTACCAGGAAACTAAAAACTCTATTGAAAGCTGGCATAACAGCTTGAAAGAAACTAAGGATAGATTATCTGAAAAGGATAGATTATCTGACAGGTTTGTAATATGGGAACATGAAAGGAAAACTTCTTAAAAATAACAAGGAAACAAGCAGTAACAATACAAAGGCTAGAAGATGACAATCTATAACTTAAGAATAAAGAATGTGAATGAAGAAGCAGGGGTACCAACAAAGGAACTGCAAAGACTATTCACAGAAATAATTAAGGAAAACTTCCCAAACATAGGAAAAGGAAAAGATGCTCAGATGTATGAGGCATACAGAACTCCAGCCACCTATAATCAAAACAGAACTACGCCCAGGTATATAATAATCAAGATTCCAGAAATCCAGTGTAAGAACAGAATATTAAAAGCTGTCAGAGATAAGAAACTTAGAAGGGAAAACCCATCAGAATTACAACAGACTTCTCGGCACAAACCATCAAATCTAGAAGAGCATGGGGCGAAATAATCCAAGCCTTGAAAGACAATAACCTCCAGCCAAGATTGATATATCCTGCACAATTGTCCCTAGAAATTAATGGAGAAACAAGATGCTTCCAAGATAAAGAGGAACTGGGAGAATTCGCAACCACCAGTCCAACTCTACTGAGAATACTACAGGACATTTTAAAGAAAGAGAAAAGCACAAGGATTTCAGGAACAATGGCAGAGAGGCCCCAACGAATGGAACAAAGAGCAAAATGAAGAAGACAAACAGACAACTAATGACAGAAAAAGAGCACAACAGAAATGAGGCAGATTAGATTGGATATAATTTCTAACATAGATGGCCTAGATACACTAACTTAAGAGAAAAAAGAGAATTGCAGGCAGAGTGGATCAAAAGGAAGGGTCCACTGAGAGGCTCTTTATAGGAAATATAATTAGCCTGACCAAAATCAAATATGAGAAAACGGAACTCAATGTGATAGGGAGCCAGAGAGTAATAGGGGTAACTGAACCAGTATTTATGCATAGGTTGAACAGACAGGCTTTAATAAATGAAGAAATATAACTAGAAATCCAGTCCAGGAGTGAGAAAGTTCAGAAATACTTAGGTAAATAGTAGGTTGCCCCCCCAATATAAAACCGTGAGTGTTGGGGAGACCCAAAAATACACAGTTCATCCTGGGGGCGTGAAAGGGGAGCAATAGTCTTAAAGAAAAATAGCACAAGATATAGCTAATAGTGTATCAGGAATTAAAACCCTTATTACTTGCACCACTCCGCTTGGATGGAACTTGTTCCATCCTACTTTGTATACAAGCACTGGATCTGAGGGCACAGATAGCTGTTCCGAAGATATGAGAACATAGCACAGTGGTCATCTTTAATTTCCTTTTAACTCAATCAGGATCCCTGTATGACTTATACTGTTGTATCATGACTGATCTTAGTTAAATCTGACTTGTTTGATTGCTGCTTATTATTGACAGATTTTATTCAAAACTGGTTGCTGGTATCAAGTTGAGGAATATAGACAACTATCCTGAAACTGAATGATTCACTATGATATCCATTCTGATTTGATTACTACCTATTTTTGTAGCTCTACACTATCTACAAAGTTGTATTTCTATTAATCCTGCCATGTACTGATATATTCAATTATACTTTATCTGATGATATATCCAATTCTGTTGATGATAACAAGAAACAGCACAGTGATCATGGTAGAACTCCTTTTATAACAGTTTTATATGTCTTTTTAGTGTTATGTATCTATAGGAATATGTTTAGTTCTGTCCTGGTTTGTTCTGTTTCTCCTTCTAATATTGAAAGGATAGAAACACATGTTAAGACTCATGCTTGTGTAAAACCTATAAGCAGTTTATGAGAACTGATCTTATGACACTGATGAAATGAACAAATACTCCGAAGGAAAGAAAGGGGCACTGCGTTACCCAGTGCTGATTGCAGAGTGTTATGATGTGAAATCCAGCAATATTATTAACCTTTGTTCAGAAGGATTTTAATCTAATAAGTTTAGTTAGGTCTCAACATAAATGAAGATATAGATAAATGTGTACATGTCTAAGTGTATAAGATTGATAGCCATATTACTTAGTTTTTGTTGGATAGTTGAACAGAACTGTTTGCAGTCTCCCTGGTTGAATTCCAATTTATATGTTTTACTTTTGTATCTTCAACAACTATTTGGGGGGAGGACAATATGTATACATCAACTAGGGATTTGTTATTGTTTACTTCTTTGAAAGTATGTACTTTTTTGCCCATTTTCTTTTTTTTTTTGTCTTTCTTTAAATAATAATAATAATAAAAAAGAAATCATGCCTTCCAAGTTTTTTCTTCTGTTTGATGGTTGCTTGGGCTATAATGAGTTCTTTGAATTATCATATACATTTTTTTTTTGTCTTTTTCGTTTTTATTGGTACCAGGGATCAAACTCATGACTGTCTGCTTGCAAGGCAGGCGCTTATGCCACTGAGCTAAATCCCCAGCCCCTATCATGTACATTTAGAATCAAACTAAAATTACTTGATTAAGACTGTACTACAAAGATTAAAAATGAGTCTTTAAGTATAAGAGCAAACTTTCGCTCTCCATTAGGTCTTTTTTAATTTATCTCAGTGGTATTTTTATAGTTTTGGTATGGAAGGACTTCCTTTTGCTTATGAATGGTAGACTAGATGTTGACTGATTTGTTCTGGTCATGGATTGAGTTGATTCAAAGCTGGCCTTTGGATCTAATCATGATCTGTTTCCTGTCCAGTCTTCATTCTTGGAGATGACCTTCCAGGATCCAACTCAAATTCTGGGATATCCACCAAAACGCATTGATAAATCCCTTGCTCTAATTTGTGGCCCTAAATGCCTGTGATGAACAGGAGTTTTGCTCAGTTTCGCAGTCCCTCACCCCGCTGTCTTCTCTCTTATAACCTATCTTACCAGCATAGTAATGTTCTCATGCCTTCCTATCATACTTTTTCCTCCACATGGTTCACAATCTCATTTGTTTGCAATTGTGTTCACAAGCAAGCATTTGGCAAATTTTTTTGTTTTGTTTTCAAACTCCACCTAGGATTACAAACACAGCCATGGCCATCTTTCTCACACAAACACAAACATGGCCATCTTTTGCAAACTTGTAGAACAAATTAAGCTTGGAAACTGAGGTACCACTGTGTATATTTATACATATAAATTAGTGTATATTTATATGGAAATATGTTAAATATTTAAACAAATATTTTATATATATATATTATATTTAAACATCTTTCCTAATTACTTTCAGCAAGGAGGAGAAAGGTTGGTCTGAGACAACCTAGTAAACCATTGGCAAAAGTATCTTTCTTTTCTCCTTTTTCTCTTCATTCTTCCCTGTCATCTTCCTTTGGACTATAACAGTGTTTTATATATCTCATTTGCTGCTATATTTCCAATACCTAGAATAATGCCTATGACAGAATAGAAAACAATGGGTGTTTATTTGGTCAAAAATGAATGAATGAACATTTTAGTTGAGAAAGGACAATAGAAATTGAAAAGAAAATCGCTCTTGTCATTTTCTCAAACCTAAGAAAATATCCTTTCCTGAACATAATTAGAACTGAAATTTGGAATACTTATAGTTGTAGTCTTTTTTAATTTTTTGAAAATTTTAATTGACAAATAGTATTTATAGTCTTTCATTGCTATTTCCTCAAAATGTTTAAATATCTCTAGTCTTTATTTTTCCATTTGTGATATATTAATCTCTTAGTCATGGAAATAGTTTTACTTATCATTAAAATTACAGAGGCCTCAAGAAAAAAAGTAAGAACATTCAAATTAATACTTTCAGGCAGGGGATTTAGCTCAGCGGCATAAGTGCCTATCTAGTAAATTGAGGTCATGAGTTCAATCTCTAGTACAAAAAAAAAAAAAAAAAAAAACCCACCAAACTAATACTTTCAACAAACAAAATACTTAAGCATAAATGTAAGCTTGTTATTTTGTTATTATAATCCTACCAGTGAAAATAAGACAAAAAGTTTGTTATGTTTTAAGAGGTAAAGGTGCACAATTCATTAAAATTACATTTTATGTAACATAAATATTTACCTGTGTTTTCTTGTTTTAGGGCCATTTTAAGTGCCAGATCTAGTTATTTTGCTGCAATGCTGAGTGGCTGTTGGGCTGAAAGCTCCCAAGAGTATATCACTCTTCAAGGGTAAGCATAATTTTTACAAGGCAACATGACTGCAAGTGATTATAAATAATACTCCATACAGAGCACTTTCTGATTTCATGTTCAGGGAAATGTTTCATGTGTAGAAGAATTCAACAAAGTACATTTTCTGAAATAAGAGGTATTAGAAAGCAGACAGTAGCATAGACAGTGTATTAATATGCTCAAAATTCTGTAACAAAATACCCAAACTGGGTGGCTTAAATAATAGGAGCCATTTTTTTCAATTCTGGGGACAGAAAGACCAAGAGCAAGGTGTCAGTATGGCTGGTGTCTGGCCACCATGGCTGGTGGTCCCCTTAGGTTACAAACAGCTACTTTCACACAGTATGCTCCTGTGACTTTGTCTCTGTGTGTGTATTCCAAGAGAGAGCTCAATGGGTCTCATATAAGGACCCTAATCCTGTCCAAACTAGTCTCCACGCCATGACCTCATTTAAACTTTATTACTTCTTTAAAGGTCCCACCTCCAAACATAGTCATGGGCTTCACTATATTAGTTTGAGGAGACACATTCAGTCCATAACAAGTAGTTTCTGATTATGGAAGATTTTAAATGCCAGACTAAAGGGTTTTATTATCTTGTGAGTAAAAAGTATATAGAGATGAATCTATTGGTGAGATTTTATCATTAGACATTTTTAAAATTTTCAATCCATTCTTACTAGAACTGAATTTAGTAAACATTAAAATAAAATAATAACACTAGTTTAACTCTGAATGCATTTTTTTTGTATTCATTAAAATGACATAATTCTGAGTAGTGAAACAAATGTCAAAAGAATTGTATGATTAAGGGATCTTAATACTCAGCAGAAAAATAATTTATAGAGAACACACATCTTTGATTTTTTCCTGGAGGAAATCTTAGTTTTTTGTAGATTAATATAATATATTATATTGTACATATAATATACATCTCTGTTCCTCTGTCCTGAGTGGTAATAATGCCTGACAAAAATATTTTATATTTTATTTCTTTCCCATGTACTATCTCCCTTAATATTTAGAATCAATCCTTGAGATAGAGAAGATATATTTACATATTGCAGGTAACTAAAATAAAGTCAGAAATGTCAAATGTTTTCCCCAGTACAAAAAATGCTTATGCTGAATATCATCACACTTATAGATTACTTAATAGTTCATTCCATGATATTCGTTGAAGAAATTAGAATGTTTCTCACTGACATGTACTCCTAAACTAGCTCAGAATACTTTTTCTATTGTTTAAACTAGTGATTCTCAAGTTTTACCTCAGAGAACCCCCATAGCACCCCTAAATTTCCTGATAGGCATCTTAGGAAACATGTGGCATGGAACTGGGATTTGAGAGGAAATCCATTTGGAAATGGATGCCCCTTCAAATTTTGTCCCTTTTACCTAGATCAAGATGATCTCTAAGTTTAGCTGTAAGAATAAAGGCAAGGGAAGTTTCTTTTTCTCATTCTTTCTGAATCCCCATTCATGAACTGATCAAATTAAACTTCCATGCATCCAAACTTTTATTTATTTTTTAATTGGAAAACATTATTGTATTTATTGAGCTTCAGTTTGTGATTTTACATATGATATTCCTATACATAATCTCTGCCTTTTGATTAAATTACTTGTTTTATGCACATTTAATGTTTTTATTGGTATAGTTGGACTTATATGTGCTTCTGTACTTCTTGTTTTATATATGTCTCATCATACCCAGACTTTTAAATATGAGATCTGCTTAGTAGGAGGAGGTCAGCGAATAAGAAATAGTGGCATCAAGTAATACCTTTTTTTTGTAGCTCTTACCTTTTTCTGTATTTTATTAGTACATGTTTTCAGTGCATAATGAGTACACTTACTGTAGGGGATTGGTGCACGTACATAACACATCTCAATTTTTTTCTCCTTCCCTCCATTCCCTTTTATTTTGCTAGTACTTACCATTTATTTGTAAAACTTTACAAAGGTAATTATCATATATACAATTTGAAAAGCAGACTAATAAGCCAAAGATCTTATAAAATATGTAAGACAGGTACACTAAGTCAGGATACACTTTTAGATACATTGTGCTGGATTACAATGCCTGTTTTCCTCTTTCTCTGTTTGCCTCATATCTTTTGTTTCATGCTTGATATGTATTTGTTTGAGTTTCTTTTGTTTTCCTGATATATGAATTTACTGCTATGAAATTCCCTCTTAGGATGGCTTTCATTGTGTCCCATAGGTTCTGGTATGTCATACTGGCGTTGATTATAGAAACTAATTTCTTCTTTAATTGAGTCTGTGACTCATTGATTATTCAAGATAATATTATTTAATTTCCATGTGCTTGCATAGTTTCTGTGCTGTCTTTTGCCATTGATTTTCTGGTTTCAGTGCACTGTGATCTGATAATATGAATGGGATAATTTCAATTATTTTGCATTTTCTTAAACTTGCTTTATGGTTTGTATATAATCTGTTTTGGATAAAGTCTCATGTGCTGCTGAGAAGCATATGTATTCTGTTGTTGTTGGGTGGAACACTGTAGATATCTGTTAAGTCCATTTATTCAAAGATAACTTCAACTCTGATATTCCTTTGTTGATTTTTTAATTTAGTTGATCTGTTCTTTTGCAAAAGTGGGGTATTGAAATTCCCTATTACAATTATATTGGTGTTTATCTGATTTTTTATATCTATTATAAAGCTGGGTACACCTGTATTTGGTGTGTGTGTGTTTTGTTTCAAGCATTGAACTCAAGACCTCCTGCTTGTCAGGCAAGCCCTGTGCCACTGGACTGTATTCCTTGACCCCGTGTGTTTATAATTGTTAGCTCTTCTGGTGAATTGTTCCCTTAACCAGATTGTAGTGACATTCTTTGTCTCTTCTGATCAGTTTTAGCTAGAAATCCATTTTATCTGAAATTAGGGTAGCAACTTCTGCTTTTATCAAGGTTCCTGTTGCATAGAATACTGTTTTATATACTTTGGTTTTTAATCTATATTTTTTAAAATTTAGCTGTGTTTCTTGTGTGTTGCATATTGTTGGGTTTTCTTTCTTCATCCATTCTGCCAGTCCATCTCTTTTAATTGGGGAATTGAGATCATTCACAATGAGAGTTATTACTGGCAGGTACTGACTTATTTCTGTCTTTGTATTATTTTTCCTTTTGCTTGATTTCCTCATTTTATCCCCTCTTGCCTAGGTGCTCATCCTACCAAATATATTGATTCTTTTGGACTTACTGGTATTGTTGACTTTATTTTCAGATATCCTTGAGAATCTTATAATACTGAATGGTCATAAATTTATTGAGATCATGAATTTATAAATTGGGATGAGTTTATTGAAGTGCTCCTTGTCCTGAAAATACCATATTTCTTCAGTTTTAAAGATTTGCAGGATATATGTCAATTGGAAGTTGTTCATTTTTAAGGCTTGAAACACTTCTCTCTAAGCCCTCCTAGCCTTAAAGGTTTATGTAGAGGAGTTGGCTGTGATTCTAGTGGTTACCTTTGTATGTGATTTGTTGCCTTTCTCGTAACAGCTTTTAAGATTTTGTCCCTGTGATGGACTTCTGGAATGTGGTGTGTAGAAGTTCACTTTTGGTCATGGCTATTTGGTGTTCTATAAACCTCATTTATCTGTAGGTTGATTTCTTCCCCTATTTTTGGGGAATTTTCTGCCATTATTTCTGTGAATGGGTTTTTATGTCATTTTTGTTGTCTTCTGATTTTTCACTTACTCCAATTATTCTTAGATTAGTCTCCTTTACATCACCTAGAGTTGTTAGATCTAGTTTTCATTTTCTTTTGCTGTTTTTATGATGTCTTTGAGTAGTTGGACTTTGATGACATCGTTGACTTCTGGTTCTGAAACTGTATCCTCATATTTGTCCATATAGTCTCTTGGATTTCTGATGAAACTTTTTCATGGATACTAATTCTTTGGCAAACTGGTCATTAATGTTTTGTATTATTTTATTATATAGGTAACTTAGTTTTTATTAGTGTTTTCTGAGAGCTCTTACATCTTTTTGGTTACTACTTTTCCTGAGTTGTATCTTCTCTAATTCCACCAAGTCTCTTTTTGGCCTATTTTCTAACTTTCTCTTTTGAGTAATTCAGGTGTGTAACTTATACTCCTTGAATTGAATTCAGGGGAGTTAGAGGCATTTTGGAGACCCATTTTGTTGTCTTTTCTTTCCATGTTTCTGTTGGTTTTTTGGTTGAGCTTTTGGATGCTTGTAGTCTAAAGTTTGTTGGTTGTAGTATTGTGGAAAACAGAACAAACATAGGAAAAAACAGTACTGAGGAAGTTTAGGAGGCAGTTTATTACACTAGCGAGTTTCTGACTAAGATCTCTCCCGGAGAGCCAGAGCCCAACCTGAGGGCGTTTTGGAGCTTTTATAGGGAGATCAATCAGGAGGTACAAAGGCAGATTCAGTGCATTATGACTGGAAGGTCTGGTGGCATTTTGAGTTGCTAAGGGAGTTTAAACATTTTTGGTTACATTGTAAGGCCACCAGCTGTGGATTAAACAGAGAAAGAAATGTCCCATTACATTTTAAATTGCATTTAAAAGGTCCTTAGACAAGCTTTACACAAAGGAAGGAATGTTTTATTATCAGGTTGGTCTGGACATGTCCACTTGATCTTGGCAGGCTTTTATTTAAAATTCTAAATTCCCTTTCAGTGGACAACTAAAGAGACCTCTTTAGTTGTTTTTCAGTGGTATACTTTGGGAATGACTAACTGTAATTCTTTGTGCCACAGCTCCAAGATTCAACCACCTTGGTTATTTTGAGAAAGGAAGATACAGTCTAGTTAGCCCAGCAACCAAGTTCTCTGGGAACATATTCTCATATTGCGAATATCACAAAGGCAATCTTGAGTGTTGGCTTACAGAGAAACACTGACAATTGTGTGACCCTGTTAATATCAAACAAAACAATTACAGTGGTAATGTCCATGACAAATTAGATATTAACAATACTGTAAGAACCAGTTATGTACGACTGTTGTTGTCAGAGTTTACAAAGGCGAAGATTTAGTACAGCACACATAATTTATAGGACTATTATATAATATTCACCCAAACAGTCAAATGCAAAAGAGTGCAGGAGATCTGTCACACACTAGAGACCCAAAGAATCTAGCTGAGGGCCTGAATCCCATGGCAGTGTCTTACACGAGTCGAGCTAAAGACCTAGAGCCCATGGCAATGACCTCCATAGTCCAACTGGAGCCTAGAACCCACAACAGTGTCTCATGCAAGTCTATCAAGGATCTACATGGGGAAGGCCCAAAGATCAGTAGTAGAAGCTAGAAAGTCTGCACCAGTGGGATCCAGATCTGTGCCAGCAGCCTGAAGACTCTGCATTGAAGCCAGGAATCAATGTTCAGGTAAGGACCAGAGAGCCCCCAAAGTGAATGCAGCCATTCTCTGTGACAGCGAGGTCCCAAGATCCTCCAAGATAATGATAATGGCTGAGTTCACATCAGAAAAACCAGTAAGACAAGCTTCTTCAGGAGAATGAACAGCACACTATCTTCCCCTCCAGTTCTCTTTTTATAATATTGGCAGAAATCCTCAGCCAATATTATACCCAGCACCACACCCAGCTGGGTATTACAAGTTAACTGTTAGTTAAACAACCACAACCACTCTGAATTCTAGAGAAGGGACCAGCCATGATGTAAATGTTAAGGCAACCCCGGAATTGGCTTACAGCTAATATGTGCTAAATGCATCTGCTATATCTCTCTTTATGGTAGAAAAGAATTCACAGTAATTTTACAAAGTTAACTATCAAAAGATTGATAAAGTTTTATGACTATGCTATTAAAGATTTATAGTTTGAGCATAAGGGAATAAAAACCAAAAATGTTAAAACTTTAATTCTTGTGATATAAGAAGGAGAAGAAAGAAGTGGTACAAAGAATCTTATTGGGGAGCAGAAAGATGACTGCAGAATTAGGCAAAGGTAGAACAAAAAACTGACAAGAATAGAAGATAAAAGAAAAAATGAGAAAAGAAAGAAGAGTGAAAATAAGAGAGAAGCATTAAGGGGAAAACATTTAAAAGATAGGAGAGGGGAAAATAGAGAAAAGAATAAAAAGAGAAGCAAGGTTGAAGGACAAAGGAAGATTACCTGAGCACTAAGAAATTACTGAAGATGACTGGAGGGAAGGAAAGAAGAAGAAGGAGAAGAAGGGGGGGGGGACGGGGAGAGACTAAAAAAATGCTTATACTTACATAAAGCACAAATAATTTTTAAAAACAACAAGTAAACTAAAAAAAAAAGTTAAAAAAGAAGAAAGAAAAATTTCTCTGTGATTTCAAGCCTCCTGAGGTTATCTTCCAGAATCTACTACTTTGTGGCAGTATTAAATTTAAGATATGTGCCTGCTCTCACTAGTAGACAAAGGAGGTAGTCAGAGCCCAGATCCTTGCTAGATAATCATCAGCAAGCTGCCAGTAAGATTAGAGTGGGACATTCAAATCCACAGAAATTGCTAAACCTAGTCTCTGGATGTGGAGTTGGAGTCTGGGTCATTTAGCATACAACACTCTGGATGTCTCTTGCTTGTCTGAACAGGGCTCCCTGACCACACATGTTTAGCTTGGCTGTCTCCTATAAATGTAGGAATATAACACTGGGAGCTCTGAGATGAAGCCAGCCTATGGCTGCTCAGAGTCCTGAGTTCTGTCCTCCCTAAAGTGACATCTGACCAAGCAGTCTCGGGATATGGCAAATCTTGGGCTATAGTTACTCACCAGTTGTTGTAGCACGTAGGATCCACTGGTCCCTTCCACTGGTGTTTCTCCCTGAAGGCCTCTGGAGCCACCGGTAAGTGTGTAGATTTCACTATAGTGTGTAGATTTCACTGTATGTGTATAGATTTGTTCTTTCTCTCTCATGAGCCACAAGCCAGGAACTAAGTAGAATATGCAAATTTCCCTCTCCTTTTTCTGCACTGTGTTCAATGTATCTGTAGGTGCCAATTTTCCCATCAGATCTTTCCTAAGTTCCAGAGATTAACCTCCCTTCTTCTTCTTCTCCCTGCACATTCCTCGCCCCCGCATTTGTTATTTTACAGTATCTGGATTTCAAATCTTGGAGAGGCTGTTTAGTGCTCTTTCATCCTCCCAGAAATCCCTCTTTATAGTCTTACCATAATCTTTCATTGTTAATTTATAATGAAGTAAATAGATAAATATTTCCCCTTATAACTTAACTACTGCAAACTTCAGTACCTTGTTAAAGGTAAGCTAAATAGAAGTAGCTAAATTAGTTTTAAAAGTATCGTCCAAATAAGCAAGTAATATATTGTAATAGTGCCATCCATGACTTGGTTCACCATCTTAGAGTATTTTCCCTTCACTTCTTTTATGTTAAAGCAAACCTTACTGTATGATCATACCTAAAATTCCTGTATTGACAGTAGAGGCTCACTACTAATGGATCTACTCCTAGCACTAAGGCACTGGAAATGAAATTCCTTTTCTTCTCCCTTTCTAGTACTGGGGATTGAACCTAGGGTCTTCAAATTTATTTCTAGCCAGTTGATTGATTGATTAACTGTTTTGAGACAAGATCTCACTGAGCTGCTAAATTGCCTAGGTTGGGCTACATTCATGATCCTCCTTCTATCTCAGCCTCTTAGAGTGTTGGGATTACAGGCCCATACCACTACACCCAGCTGATACATTTCTTTTTGGAGTCAACTTTTTAAATCTAACTTGATAAAGTTTCATAATATTAAAATGAAAAGTAAAACTATCTCCTGATGGTTATGTCTATACCCTTTATCATTGTCACCACAATGCTATGTGTTTTTCTTTTTCCTGTGGTATCACATATCAAACTAAGTGTTTCAAATTGCTAACTAAAAATTTATTAGTATTATGGCATATAAAGCTGCTGGAAGGCTCAAGCAATTGAGGAATTTTACTTTTCAAAAAACTACATATTTGATTACATCCCAGAGGGCAGACCAACTGGAGGACAGTGAGTCTGCACTCTGTGCTGCTTCATTACATCCTGGAGGGCAGACTGAGTGGAAGAGAGTGAGTCCAAGCTCTGCACCCCTCTATTACATCCAGGAAGGCAGGCCACCTGGAGGGAAGTGAGTCCATACTCGTGCCCCTCCATTTCATCCAAGAGGGCAGTCTGTGTGGAAGAGTTTGAGATCCAGGCCTCACCCATTGCATTCCAGTGGCAGGCAGCTAGAAGAGTCTAAGACCAATGCGAACTCCAAGACCCAGGACAACAGCCTGGCACACAGACACACACACATCTCTGGAGGGTAAGTAATCAGTGAGGCCAGTAACATGGAAGCAACTGAAGCATCAGTGATGACAAGCAGTTGGAAGAACCCCACCAAAAAAAGACGAATTTCAATCCTCACATCCAGAGGCTAAGATTAGGTCCACATTCAGCACATTCTGGGATGAAAAATGGACATTATCACAGAACTGTAAACACCAAGAGAATAAGCTGAACATAGATGCCCTGTGAGCCTGCCAACTGCCATCAGGGACCAGTAGCCAGCACCAGTGGGGAGACCAGCCAGCCAAGCTCCTGCTCACCTCCTACCATCAGAGGAGCCTCCATATAGTTGCATGTATCTACAAAAGCCAGCCCAGCAGCACCCCCCAGGAACCTAGGATAAGGGAAACCCAGGTACCTGAGCCATTCCCTTACACTGTGGATAGACAACCAATGCAGGAAGTGTCTGGGACTCCACAATCAGCTTGTTGGGAGGAGACCAAGAGAATTTCAAGATGGAGCAAAAGGCAATCTCAGACCTCCAGCCCACACAGAACAATTCACGGAGACATAGTCATGGAAGAAAATGGAAGTCACATACCTGAAATTTCTGAGAAGATAGCAACTGAAGTAAAGAAACAACTTCATGAGACTGTAAAAGTAATCAGATCAGAGATAATTTCTCAGGTAAAAGAAGAAACCACAAACAATGGAAGAATTGCTGAGTATATCTGAAGAAGACATAGTAAAAAAGAGAAGCATAGGAAAATGAGGGAAACAATACAGGAAAGAACTACAATATGTGAAACAGATTCAAAGAGCTAGCTAGGCAATTAAAAAGTTGATTGAAAGAGACTGAAGATAGACTTTCAGACTTTGAAGACAGGACTGCAGCTAATGATCATGAAAGGAAAGATTTCTTAAAAGTACCAGAATATAACAATTCAGTGGATGCAAGGTGATATGAAGAAAAATAATTTAAGAATGATAGATGTCAGCCAAAAAGCAGGGGTCAATACATATGACATTAAAATTCTATTTGTAGTCGTAGTAGCAGAAAACTTCCCAAGTATGGGAAAAAGACCTGACATACAGATAAGTGAAGCGTATAGAACTCCAACCAGCCATAACCAAAATAAATCTATACCCAGACATACAATAATCAAGCTCCCAGAAATTCAGCATAAGAACAGGCTATTAAAGGATGTTAGAAAAAAGAGATAGATCGCTTATAAAGGAAAACCCATCAGAATCATGGCAGACTTCTCAACACAAACCATCAGTCAAGAAGAGCTTAGATGAAGTGTCTCAAGTCTTAAAAGAAAACAACTTCCAACCCAGATCGATATATAAAACTATCTTTGAAAATGGAGAAATAAGGTACTTTCATGATAAAAAACAACTGAAGGAATTCATGACCACCAAACTAACCCTACAAAGAGTGCTGAAGGATATTCTAGAGAGAAATAAAGATGACTGTGGTTCTAGGAACAATAGCAGAGGTCAGGCAATTGAACAGAAGAGAAAAGTTGAGGACTAGTGGCAGGAGAATAGTATGGTAGAGATGAGTCAGTGCATGTTGATTATAACTATGAATGTAGATGGCTTCAACTTAACAATAAAAAAAAAAAACCCACAGGCAGAGTTGGTCAAGAGATAGAATCCATCAATATCCTGTATACAAGAAACACATTGGACTCAAAAGAAAATTCATGGACTGAAGGTCAGAGAAGACAAGGCATTGATCCTTATGATGGAGACCTAGAAAAAAGCAGGGGTAGCTTACCCATCAACCACAGAATGGATGGGAAAGATATGGTATTTTTATACAATGGAAAGCTACTCAGCTATAAAGAAGGATAGCCATGAATCTCTTGTAGATAAATAGATGCAACTTGAGATCATGCTTATGAATGAAATGGTTTGGACTCGCATGGGTGAACATTATGTTGTCTCCCTAGCATAAAAAACTGAAGGAGTTGGGGCTGCGGATTTAGCTCAGCGGCATAAGCACCTGCCTCACAAGCAGGCAGTCGTGAGTTCAATCCCCGGTACCAATAAAAAAGAAAAAGACAAAAAAAACCAAAAAAAAAACCTGAAGGAGTTAGTGGGATCCAAAATATATAATAGATACTGTGAAAGTGAAAGGAGAGGGAATTACTAAGAAGGGAAGATGGTAGCCATTGTTAATTTATTGCCTTGCTTTGAAGTCCTATATTGCTTTTATTGTTTTGTTTTAATTGGTTTTATTCTGTTTTGTTTTGTTAGATTCTGTTATGTCTGATGGTATGGTCAACTATTTTGAAGTTAACAAAATATTTTCTGGTAGCTAATTGCTGATTTCCTTAGTTATCTTGCTTTGAAGTCTTGTATCACTTTCATTGTTTTGTTTTGATTGGTTTTATTCTGTTTTGTTTGATTTTATTATGTTTTATGGTATTGGCAACTATTTTGAAGATACCATGAGGCATTATGATTGCCATTGTTGATTTCTTATGTTGTTGTGAAGTCTTATACCGCTCTCATTGTTTTCTTTTGCTTTGATTGGCTTTATTGTTTCATTTTGTTTGGTTTTATTCTCTTAAAAATAAAATTTTTAAATTTTAGGAACTTTTATAACAATATGATTTATAAAGCAAATTTCATTTTCTCATCAACATGTTATAAATATAAGTAGATGTTTCTATGGAGAACGTGGTCTAGTAGATTATGAGCTTTGGTGTCCTTACAGGAAGCCCTATAAGGATAGCCCTAATTTAATACAGGACTTACATTTCCTGAGCTTCCTAAATTTGAAAGGATTATGTGCAATACAGCGAGGAAAAAACTCCTGGCATAGTGCTGGTACATAGTATGTAGTGCTCATTAATGTTTGTCCTTTTAATTTTCTAAATTGCATTGTTCTCATTTTTCTAAAGAGAAAAAAGGTCAAGTAAATAACCATTGCCAGTACCAGGACAGCAGTACTGCTTTGCATTATTAGCAGCTTCTTTTGGAACTACATAGCTGTTACTATGAAGAATGTTTTTATATATATGAAATCCTTTCTGTCCTTACAGAAGCATTACGTTTTTAATATTTATAACTCAGAGATACAATGTATACAATATTTTTCAAGAGGTACAGCTTTCAATAAATTAAGGTGGGAATGTTGGAGTTCTATAATCATAGTTCCACCCATGCCAAAGAGTTGGGAAGCAGAAAGCTATAAATAGGAGGAAGATATCCTTTTTTAGTGAGAGAAAAGAAATTTTTTTTCACATACTAGAGTGGAAAAATTGAGCTGCAATTGATACTTCTATAAAGGAACTCTGTGTATTTCTATTGTCATAAGTAAAAGTCCTACAGTGGTGGCATGAATGTTGGAGCATAAATTTAGATTTTCTCTTCTCAGATGATTTCTAGGTTTGTTCCAAACCTTTAGGATGATCTTTTGACATTTAAATCATATGTCTCTTCTGACTGAAATATTCTCATGTTATAATATGACAGTGTAAATTAAGCCCAAACTCTTGTTGGTCTTTTCTCCACCCAGCTTATTCCTTAGGGCTTTTGCATTTGTTATTCCTTCTGCGTAAGAGCTTTTCCACGTAGTACTTTTCCATGGCTGATGGCTTCTCATGCTTGAAATCTGAGATCAAGTGTCGCCTTACCATATTACCACATCTACAGTAGCTATACTCCAAGTTCAGTTGCTCTCTTTTATTATCCTATTGCCTTCATGGCATTTTTGATTATCCAAATTACTTTCTTTATATATTTGTTTACTTATTTATTGTTTGTGTACTCCTCCTAGAATATAAGCCCCTTGTAGTCCCAAGGTCTAGAATAGAACTCAACAGTGAATATGAATGCATGGACAAACAATAGAATAAACCAATGAAGGAGTTCCTATGTTACTTTAGCCTATACACTTAGGAACCTGAAACATTAGAAGGCATGGTGATTTTATAGAATCAAGTGCATGATTGATTTCTGGTCTTATATCCTTGTTCTGTTAGTTGTTCTTGTTTTAAACTCTGAGTACAAGTAATGTTTTCATCTCCTACAGCATTTAGTTGTAATATTGCTTTAATTCTTTCCATTTAAACTATGGACTGCTGGAGTAATTTGTCTATGACAATTGATCATGTCTTTATAAATACTTTCTGTAAAAATATAAATTATTTACAACATTATAACAAGAGTGCAGCTTAGTAAAACATTTGTTCAAACAGCAGGAAAATAGTTTCTTGCTGTTTTTATAGCTATCATATATTGATACATAGGCTCAAATGTCTAGATTTTGCTGCTTATTTTAATAAAAAAGACCCCTTTTTATTTAGTCCTCACCTTTTGCTTAAACATGTCAGGTTTTAAATAATTCTTTCAATGTAATAGCCAATTCTCATTAACATTGATAAGAATGTCTTGAGAAATCTGAGGAAAGAAGTATTAAATAGCATACATTCTAGTAATTATTCTAGTAGTGTAGATTAACATACCACAAATAATATGGCTTCATTATTCTGAGATTAAATCTTTTTGTATCCATAATATATAAATGAGACTATCCATAGTATGTAAAAGACACTATTCAGATATTTCCATTTTTTCCTAAGTAATAAAAATAGAATTTTTATTTATCAGAAACATACTTATCTATAGTACAGGCCAGTGATATTTATTAAATTAATATTTAAATACTTTCAACTCAGTGTTCCTGTGAAGGTTCAGGAGGAAGATCTGAGTTCTTCTGTGTCTAATAAGCTAGTCATTAAATGCTCCTCAAACACTTACTGAGTATACATTACTTAAGGTCATAGACTTGAAGTAAACACCTGTCTGAGCCTTGTCCTCTGGAACTCCATTTCTTTTCTTCTTACCTTTTTCATTTTGTTCCTTTAGATTAGGTAGATATTAGGCACTATGCTTGATGATCTTTGAGGGTCTTACCAGCACTGTCTCATCAAGATTCTACTATAGAAATCCAGTTATACAGCTCAATGCAAGCTCAAGGTTCACAGTTTGATTGCCATTACAAAAAAAAAAAAAAAAAAAAAAAAGATATTACTGCAGAGTTCCAGTATTATACAGGGAAAAGAAATTCTTTTTTTTTTTTTTTTATTTAAGAGGAAAAAGAGAAAAACACAAAACAAGACAAAGCGGTGTAAGGGTACACGTAATACAGAACTACAAAAAAAAAAAAACATAACAGTAAGAAATCACCTGTTAGTAGATTACATATTATCATCTTGAAAATAGTTGCTCAAATCACAGTATCAAAGAATACAAGGTGGACATTCAAACAGGGAGACTGCAAACAGCTGTGTTCAATAATCCAAAAACATTGATATAGTCAGCTATTTAACACCCCTAAACACACTTGCTGTTATATCCGGGAAAAGAAATTCTTCTGTCCTGCGAGTATTGAATCAATTGTGACGTTTTCCTGGTACTAGAGATGCAAAGTTAAATAGGATGGGAGTCTAGAAAGAGACAAATACATAAAGACATGGCAAGACACTTTGATAAGTATATTAATGAAAGTAAATGTAGAATAATGCTTAAGAGACCAGATTTTGAAATGATTCTTTTTTAAATTCTAGTGGATTACTAGCCATTTGACTGTGGACAAGTTATTTAATTTCATTTTTTAAGTGTATAAAAGAGGTTAATAATAGTACCTATACTGTTGAGTTGTTATGATGATTAAATGAGCCAGTAACACTGAAAGAGTATATTAGCTTAGAGACTGTCTCACTATGATTCCTCAATAAATGTTAATTATTGTTTGTAACATTGAAGTTTTTGTTTTTGTTTCTGCTGTGACAGCATTAAGGAAACAGGCAGAAGTAAGGAGCCACCTATGTTGTGCCTGAAAGACGAAGTAAGTGTAGAGAGAGAGCATTTTAAGAACAGTGAACAGTATTGCTAAGGCATGAATATATAAGGAATTACGTTGTTTAAGTGTAGAAAATGAGTATATTCATTTATCTTGGGACAGCTAGTAGAGAAGGAGAAATAGAGGTCAAATATAAAGTATTAGACCAAGCTAAAGAATTTAGAATTTTTTCCCCTATGGGCTTTGGAAAATAGATGAAGAGTTAGAAGTAGGATTTGTTCTTTAGCAAAGTTGTTCAAATAACAATGTGAGAATGCAACCAGAAAATTTTAAGATGGAACTGTATGTGAGAGGATATGTCATAGTTCAGATGGGATAAAATGAATGAGTAAACCAAGGCAGTGAGAAGGGAATTAGAGAGAAGAGGCTGAACTCAAGAAATTCCTGAGGATGTAATGACACAGTATAATAAGGGAGAGGAGAAGATGAAATCTCAAGTCCAGACTTAGGTATCTAAGTGAATAATGTTTGTGTCAGTTTTCAGGAGGGCTTAATAAATAGCATACATATTTCCTTCCTGTTCAGAATAAAACAAAACAACAAATAAAGTAAGAAAATAATTCCTTTATTATTCATAATCACTGTTAAAACAGTTGAATGAATTTTGTTGGAAGATCTAGAGTTGGTTTGCTTATTGAATCCATTTAAATCAACCCATGTAAGAAATCTTAAGGCATAACAGATATACTGTCCCTCCCCATCACTTCTCACTGATTCAGCAGGAAAGAAGAAACCAAATTACCTTTCATTTTGAGTTCAGTCAATGATTGCTTTTTACCAGCCCAACAAATTGTTCCCCTTGGTACAGAGGAATAGAGAGTAGAATAAGATGCAAGTTACCTTATGACAGTGTTGTCAACAGAATAGAAATAACAGAAGACTGAGTTTGGAGTGGGGAGGAAGAAGGAGATGACTTAGTTTTTTCTCCTGCTAATTATACAGTTTTATGGGCTAAATTACAAAGAAAAAAGGTTATTTTGGTTGATAGGTCTTTTCCAAGGTTGATGGTTCTCATCTGATGATGGTTTTCCTATTGATGACAGAAGCCCAGGGTGATGCATGGTACGATTTAGTGAGATATAGGGAGCACTCAAGAGACATAACCAAACTGGATTCTGTATTGGAGCCTCTCTGAAGATAATTCATTAATCCATTATCACATGAATAGGTTAATCCATATATGAGGTAGAGCCCTAATCCTTTCTTAAAGGTCCTACCTTTTAATGTCTTATAATAAGGATTAGATTTCAGAATCAGTTTTGGAGAGAGCAAACTATATTCAAACCATAAGAGAAGTCACAAATTTAGAATTTAAGATATAGTAGTCACTCTAAATACTCTATCACTCTAAAATATTTCCTAAGTTGTCTTTACCTTTTCATAGTATAATGAGACATTAACCCAGTTAGAATCACTGATAACTATTACAATTCAAGAAATGCCTACAGCACAAGATTGGATAGTAATCAAAATACATGCATTGAACACCCCAAAAATGTGAAACTAAGGGGCAGAGGATGATCAAAGTATATAGTGTTCCAAAATAAAATGCATTAATTCATGTAAGGCAGGTGTACTAATAAAAAATGATGTGAGACAAAAGGAAATATATACAGAATAACAATAATATTTCTAGTAAATGCAGTTGTTATTAAAATACAGTTGCTATTAAAACCAGAAGCTGTTTTTTTCCTTTTTGCAGTGCTGGTAATCAAACCTAAGGCTTCATACATACTAGTACTTACCAGTATCTCTAATGAATCAGAGATTAGATAATGACCTCTAAAGTCTCCTCAACTCTAAAAGTCTGTAAAAGAAGATGCTTGGGGGCTGGAGATTTAGCTCTCAAAGGCATAAGCGCCTGCCTTGCAAGCAGGCAGTCGTGAGTTCAATCCCTGGTACCGATAAAAAGGAAAAAGACAAAAAAAAAAAAAAGAAGATGCTCGATAAATAATCAATGATTTGATAATACACTAATAATGTCTTATAATTCATGCAGAAATCCACAGGCTTGCTTCATTTTAATGATATATATGTGTATATATATATTATATATATGTGTATATATATAATATATATATATATGGGTGATGTTTAAACATATAAATTAGAACTTTTCTTTGGCTTAAAGTTTTGTGAAACTACAAAGTATATCACTAATATTAAACTTAATTTTTCTGAATTTGAGTTTTGTTTTATTTTGCAGTATAAAGCATATAGAAATGAATGTTATGATGCATTTTATCTATGGAGGAACTTTGGATTTTCCAGACAAAACTAATGTTGGGTATGTATTACTTTTTAATATGTTTAAATAGAAAATCTTAATATTTTACATGTTTTGCTTTGATGTGCTGCCATGTCAATGAAGTAGGAGCAATCCTTAAATTTTCTGACCTATTATGTTGTCTCTTGAGTATGTTTAAGGAATATCTAAAAACAATGTTACCTTATTTAGAATAAAACCTGATATAGTAACTCATAGTAATAAGATTACGAAAACTTTTCATTAGGCTTAAATTGTTAGAATCTTTTTCTTTCTTTTCTACCCTCTCCCTTTCCTTTCTTTCTTTTGCAAATTTAGGGTTGAATCCAGAGCCTCACCCACAATACACAAGCAGTCTCCCACTGAGCTATTTCATCAGCCCTTTTTTTGTTTTCTTTTTTTTTCTTTTGCTTTTTTTTTTTTTCCTTTGAGATAGGATCTGTCAAATTAAAAAAAAAAAGAGAGAGAGAGATAGGATCTGTCTAAATTGCTCAGACTGGACTCAGTTTTGCAGTCCATTAACCAATATTTTCTCTAAAGTTGAGTATTATTTTACTACTTTGTTTTTAAATTTTAGAGTTTTTTAAAACATGAAAAGAAAAACCTTAAAACTTATTTAAAGAATATGACAGTATCCTAAAAATCAGTAATTACATTATTCTTAGAGGTTATATAGTGAAATACAATTTAAGCTTATAAAATTCTACTAGACAGTGAAATTCTCTCTTGTTCTCCTTTTCCAGATGTCTTCCCTTTTCTTTATATTCTAACATGAGTCAAATGAAACATCCTTTCAATTTTAGTAATTCATAGAAATTCTTTTAATTTCAAAATGAATAAATATTTTTCGGGGGAACATAATTGTAGATCGCAGGGATTAAGTTTTAAAGTTTCTTCTCCCTGGCAACCTACATGAATTTTTATTATGCTTTCAAGGCTTGTTTTCTATGTACCTAAAGTATGTATAGGTAATTGAAAATACTAGCCTAATGAAAAAAAACCTGCTTGCTGATTGGATGCTGTCTCTAATCTTAGAGTCATTTGTAGATATTTTTGATATGGTAAGCATCAATGAATTCCCTCCCAAACTCTTACTAATTTCTTGGAAAGATTTATGTAACATGTATAGCCTTCAAAGCAGTTTCCTGGAATTTGTTTTGTATTTCACTGAGCGTATAAGGGAAATTTGAAACATCTCCAAATTTACTTTTTTGTTATTCCTGAGCCAGTGCTTTTCAACTTTTGCCTATGTCCTTTTCATGATCCATAAAGAGTGTTTATGATGTTAAATACAATGTTAGGATTATAATTCAGATTCTTTTTTTCTGAACAGACTATAGATTATCAAGAAATTACTGTATTATGCTTTGGATTTTTAAATTTGGGAATTAACAGTACATCTATTTTTATTTTAGTCAGATACTCAGTATTGCTGATATGTATGGACTAGAAGGTTTAAAAGAAGTAGCAATCTACATTTTAAGAAGAGATTACTGTAATTTCTTTCAGAAGGTAATTATTGAGTCTCAGAAATCTTTACCTAGTGGTTGAAGTCACTCTTATTACCTATTAGATTGTTCACTTTGGTAGTAATAGTGTTTTAAATGTTAAAAATATTAAATCAGTTTAACTAGTAGGAGCCCTTAAAAAAAACCACACATGGACAAAGGGCACCAGCATCTGAATTAGAGCAAGGTCAAGCACAAATCCCTAGCACCATCTTATTATCCACTTAATTACGTAAGATGATCATAAGCATCTGTGCCCTGTTGCATAGAATTAAATCCAGAAAATGCAAGTGCTGGAGACTTGAACTTACTATGAAGCCCAGGTGGCCTCAAATTCAATAGATGTCAAATGAAATAGGTGTTAAAACTATATTAAACTTCAATAATAAAACCAGAAAGTTATGGAATCTGCTTATAATGTCATTAAGAGATGATAAAGGTGAAAATTTGAAATAGCTTACTTAAAAGAATTAGTTGGGGAGAAAAATTTTATATTAGTATCTCCTTTAAGATGAAACTCTTTCAATAAACCAATTGTATCTTTCTAATACTGTAAATGTTTTGTGAGTAGTTCTTGTACCATTACCTCTATTTTTTGATGTGTCCATGAATATGTAGGTTACCTGCAGTATCTTGGTTTTACTTTTAACAATTATTTAATTTTTAAAATTATTTTTTATGTCTGATGGGTTATGCTGCTGAGCTAAATCCCCAGCTCAGTAATACTGTTTTATAATTCAGTGTATTGGTCATATCTTATAGTGGGCATACCAAATGCTTCTGTCTGATTGACGATTATAACTGGGGTTTATTTTGGGAGAAAGGCTTACAGTCATCCTGAAAAATCATACTAGTGCTTATTTCCTGGTTGGGCATTATCTGGGAGGAAGTACAGTAGTAATATTTATGCTTCATGAAGCAGATTAGACTATAAAGTTGTACTGGAAAGCGAGATGCCAGAAGTTATCATACTACTTTTACTTATAAAAATATTTAAGCTAAAAAAGTTAGAATAAAAATTATGTGTATTGTAGCAGCTAAAAGATCTCAAATGCCATTCTAAAAAACTAAAAGTTACCTGAGATACTTGATTTAAAATAATAACAGAATTTTTAAAAATTTTTGGGAGCAATTATAGGTTTACAGCAAAATTTATAAGGTCCAGAGATATCCCATATATACACTACCTCCACACTTGCATAATCTCTCTATTATCAAAATCCCTTACTAGAGTGGTACATTTGATACAATTGATGAACATACTTTGACACATAATTATAACCCAAAGTCTGTAGTTTACATTGGGGTTCACTGTGCATGTTGTATATCTCATGAGTTTGGAGAGAGGTATAATGGTGTGAATCCATCATGATAGTATCATAAAAAGTCATCCCAATGTCCTAAAAATTCTTTCTTTTCTTTACCCCCTGGAAATCACTAATCATATTACTGCCCCCATAGTTTTGGGATTTTTTTTAAGATTGTTATACAGCTGGAACCATATATGTATTATATAGCATTTTCAAATTGGCTTCTCATTAATATTAACTTAGTAATATTCAAGTTTCTTCCATGTCTTTTCATGGCTTAAAAACTCTACTCTTTTTAGTGCTGAATATTTCCTTGCAAGGCTATACTATACTTTACTTATGCATTCACAGAAAGACATTTTAGTTGCTTCCAAATTTTGACCATTATGAATAAAAATGCTATAAAAAAATCTGTATGCAGATTTTTGAGTGCCAAAGTGTGTTTAAGAAACAAAACTTTGGACCCAGGGATATAGCTCAGCAGCACAGTACCTACCTGGCAATCATTCAGTAGGTTATGAGTTTGATTCCTGGTACCAAAAAAAAAAAGAGACAAAATTTAGGACATTGACTAGAGCACGTACTGGAAGAAATTAACTTTAGATAAAGAACTGTGAGACATTTTAAAACTCATTGATATTTAAATTTTATATATTTATTTCATAGTTTAGGCATCTAAATTAGATTTTCTTTATAAGCCAAATACTTTTAATGCCTTTGGTAATTGAAAAAGAATAAATGTGGTGCTTTCTATCAATTTTAGCCTGTTCCCAGAACGCTGACATCTGTAGTAGAATGCCTACTTATTGCACATTCCGTGGGAGTGGAAAATCTTTTTGATGACTGCATGAAGTAAGTTATCTTAAGTAGTGCTACTATTATTAATTTAAGGATTTTGTTCTTTTATTCTGCTAATTTTGTGGCTATTTTAGAGTCACACACAGTATAAGTAGCTTAGTTGTACCAATTGAGTAGAAATATTGATTTAGATATTATCAATTTATTTTAGCTGAACCACAGTTAAGTTAAAATCATTGTCCAATGGATTTAAGTCATATGTTTATAGAAAAGGAAATATAATTAAATCTACCTTAGAGCTCATAAAATTAACAGTCAGGGTTAGTTAAATATATATATATATTTATATAATTGAAAACAAAAATGCTTTTATAATAAAAAATAATATCATCTCTCTGACTTGGAATTCTTTGATTTTAATAGGTGGATTGTAATGCATTTTGCAAGATTTTGGTCTGAGAGAAGTTTTGCAAATGTACCTCCTGACATTCAGAAAAATTGTCTTCATATGTTGATCCAGTCTTTAGTGAGTATTATAACCTACATACTCTGGTTTGTATGTGCCATCAAAAATTTATTTAGTTTTGAATAGTAATTTCAATGATTTAAATGTATATGGAGTATTATTATTATATGTATATGGAGTATTAGTATTATTATCATAAAAGTAAGATGAGAAAATTCTGGATAACCCATAATCAATTCTGAGAGCCTAGTCTTAAACTTATACTCATCTGAAACTCCTAACAATCAATTTCATCAGTCAGGTTTCAGTCAGAAGATAAAACTGCGAGGAGGTATATGGTGGTTGTCCAGAGATGGTAGTTGTCCATTGGCTTAGCAAAGCAGACTAAGCAATATGTGGACATAGCACTGAAACTTCTCAATGGTGCAATTCTCCAAGAGATTCAGCCAGCTGCTTGGTGCCAGGTAGATTATATTAGATTTACTTCTATTATGGAAAGCCAATACTATGTTTTCACTGTAACAGACATTGCTATGTATATAAATTTTCCTCTGTAGTCATAATGATTCTGCTAAAACTGGGATTCATGATTTACAGAATATATTAGTCATCATCCTGGTATTCTACACAGTATCACAATGATTAAGGAACTCGCTTCATAGCAAGTAAAGTACAGTAGTGGGCCCATGCTCATAGAATTCACTGGATTTATGAACTTCCTTATTGTCCTGAAGCAGTTGACTTACTAGAATGGAAAGGCAACCTTTTAATGACCCAGAAACAGTCCTAACTAGGTGGCAATTCCTGTGGTCTTGGGCCAGTATACCATAGGATATGATATGTGCACAATTCCATTTTTTATTTAAAGTGATACTTCTCCCACAGTCACAGTTTATGGGTCCAAAAGTCAAGGTGTGGAAATGGGAATGGTTCCATGCAAAATTATTCCTACTACTCTATTAGCAAAATTTTTGCATCCTTTCTTGCAGCTTTGGGCTCTGCTAGTCTAGACGTATTAGTTTCAAAAAGAATGCTTCCCTCTAGGGACCCAATGATTCCACTGAATTGAAAGTTTGAGATTGCCTTCCTCTGGCCAATTTGGGTTATCTGGGAGAAGTTTCGCAAATGTACCTCCCAACATTCAGGAAAGTTCATAGGCAAAGAAGGGAAATTACTAATAGATTGAGCCTGGATTTTAAGGGAGTATTGAGTTGCTACTATACAGTGAGTAGAAGGGAAAACAGCTGAAATGCATTATTCCCAGGTTCTATGACTACAATCAGTAAAAAACAAAAAACTATAACAAATCTAATTTAGATAGTGTTGATAATGAAAGTTTGGACCACTGTACCAGATAAGGAACTATAAACAATGGAAATACTTGCTGAGGACAAAGGGAATATGGAATGGGTAGTGGAAGAAAATAGTTATAATAACAACTATGAAAATATACTAGTTACAGAAATGAGTGCTGTAGAAGTTATGATATGTAGTATTCATTTCCCTTTTTATATTAACATATTCATCTATATGTTAACTAAATATTTGTTTTTCTCCCACTGTCTCCTTCCTCTACTATCTAAGACACATTAATAATCATTAACTTTAATCTATGTTTAAGTTACAAGATCAGGGAAAACTGAATCAGTTTGAAGAAGAATGAGTATCAACAAAAATAAAAAATAACCGTAGCTTCTCTTTTAAGAAGAAGTTAGCATGTTTGTTGCATAGAAGTTAGTTGTGTCATTTTAGGCAAGTCACATAACTCTTACTGTCTCCATTTGGGATTTATTACAGTTTATAGATGTATGCAGGGTGCTGAGTTGACAAGGGATTGACTGTATTCGCCTAATATCATGTTAGCATGAACTGTACTTCCTAGAATTTTCATCTGTGCGTATTTCCAGTTAGACTGGCCACAAAAAAAAAAAAAAAAAAAAAAAAAAGCCAGTTTAGTGGGAGTTTTGTAGAGTAGAAGTAGTTAGAGCAGGTACTTTTTACTTTTTACATGGTGGAGTATATCAGTGCATCTTGTTGACATGGAACAGCAGTCAAGCCTGCAACTGTTCCATTTTGCCCTGTACCTTGCTTTAGCTTCTTAGTCCTGAACTGGGTCTGTATTTACCTGTATAATAAAAGACTCATACCCATCTCACCCAGGTTAGAGACTGAAACTGATGTGAATTAATTGTTGGGGTTTCCAGCTAGTGCTTTGGGTGTCAAGTTGGTCTCTTCTAAACTGCTTGTCCTGTGAACTTCAAACTATATAAAGGGCTGTTTAGCTGTATCTCACAATTGTTTAAGGTCAAGTCTCTGTAACAATTTCATATACACACACACCCACCAATACCTCTAAGTGGTTCCTTTTTTTCTGATTGAACCCTAAATGATAATATCGGATTGAGTTACATAGAAGATACATCTAGATCTAGGAAAATAAATATAGGGTATTAGTTCATTAAGTGCCACTTTGAATAATAAATCTAAATCTTCATTTATGCTACTAAAGGATGGTTTTACTTTACTTACAAATTTAAATTTGAAATAACCAGAAAAATGAAAGAATAAGGAGTCTTCTTTTTCTCTTTTTTAAAATAGTTACAAACTGATCTTTTGTAATATTTTTAATATTACAAATTTAAAATGTTATTTTAATATTACAAATTGATAATGTTATTTTTAAAAATAAGAATTGTAAATTGTGTTACATTTTTACACTAAAAAAATAAAGGACTTTGTAGTTTGAATATGTACTGTTTTTACAGTAGTTTCCTTGTCATTGAATAGTCTTGGTTCATAAAGGCATTGCCACAGTTCTTTTTTTTTGGTCTTTTTGAGATACGATATCTTTATGCAATTCAGGCTGACCCTTAGCTCACTTTATTACCCAAGCTGGTCTCAAAATCACAGTGAGCCTTCTGCCTCAGTCTCTGCCTAAGTGCTCGGATTACAGGCATGTGCAATTATGTCTGATTGCCCCAGTTCTAATTTAGTGCAGTAGAAGTATTATTTACTACTTGTAGTAGTACCCATATGTAGTGGAATTTTGTTCAAACCATTACAGTTCAAATACTTTCATGTGTGAAATAAGATAATGTGATAGGTGCTCAACATGGCAAAGTTTATTTCCTTGAGTATGGACCTTGATGTTAAGAAGTTTACAGATTGATTCTTGGGAGAACATGGCGGACAGATAGCAGCAGCTACGGAGGCTCTCTGAAAGACCCAGCTTAGAATTCAGGAATGGTGCAGAGCAAGGAATCATAAGCAAGAGGAGATATGCCCTGCTGACCCAAGAATGAACTGGGCTGAGAGAAACCAACTGGCAATGCAATCCTGGTGCTATAACAGGAACAGAAAAGCCTTAGTGTGGAAGCTGGAGCCCGCACCATTGGAAACTGCAATTTGGGTTTCCCACCGCCGCTGCTGCGTCTGCATCCGCTCGGCAGGCTTGGCAGGAAGAGAGACGCGCGAAAGCTCTGAGAAGGGGAATAGGTGAATGGAGTTGAAAGCAGGACGGGCAGGGAGCTGTGCATTGACCTGTGATGAGTGAGAGAAACTGGGACTCTTCCACGGTCTAGGAGACTCCAGCGACATTCTGGGACCGGACAGACTTGCGGGAACAGGGCACTGCAGTGACTTCAGTCACGTATCCCCCTCTCAAGCGGGATTGGTGAGCAGTGCCTAGCCTACGTGACGCTGCTGGCTGAGACCCAGTAGGCTAGCACAACCCAGGTCCCAGCGCCTGAAAGTAGATTGACCTAGAGGGGTGGGCCCCGCATACGCTGTCTGGTCTGCAACTTCCTGGTGCACAACTTCCTGGCTAGGTGGGAACACCTAGCCGGCACAACTCAATCAGACTGTGGCCGACAACGAAGGAAGCTGGGCCTCCTATATAAGGAACAAAGAATATGGGAAGAGGCAGCAACAAGAAAGGGTCCTCAGCCCCCAATCCTGAGAAAGAGGCAGTAGCAGACATAGCACCAATAGATACAAAGCGCTATCTCCAGAGCCTCATAGACAAGTTCAGGAATGAAGTTATTAATGACCTGAAGCTAGACATAAGCAGAATAGTTAGAGAAATGCTAAGCACCACCCAAGAAAAAACAGATGGTGGAATGGAAGAACAGCAAAAGGGAGAATTGTTTGATGGAGAAAATAGAGAAAGCATAGAATACGTGAAGCAGGTTCAAAGAGATTACCAGGAAACTAAAAACTCCATCAAAAACTGGCATAACAGCTTGAAAGAAACTAAGGACAGATTACCTGAACTGGAGGGCAGATTTGTAATATGGGAGCGTGAAATGAAAAACTTCTTAAAAATAACAAACAGCAATAATACAAAGACTAGAAGTTGATAAGAGGATTTATAACTTAAGAATTAAGAACATAAAAGAAGAAGTAGGGACACAAACAAATGAACTACAAAAGCTACTCACAGAAATAATCCAGGAGAATTTTCCTAATTTAGCAAAAGGTAAAGATACTCAGTTGTATGAAGCATAAAGGACCCCAGCCACCTACAACCCAAACAGAGCAACACCCAGGCATATAATAATTAAAATTCCAGAAATCCAATACAAGAACAGAATATTAAAAGCCTTCAGAGATAAGAAACAGATCACTTACAAGGGAACACCCATCAGAATTACAGCAGACTTCTCGGCACAAACCATCAAATCACGAAGAGCGTGGGGGGAATAATTCAAGCTTTGAAAGATAATAATCTCCAGCCAAGATTGATATATCCTGTACAACTATCCCTGGAAATTGATGGAAAAACAAGGTGCTTCCAGGATAAAGAGGAACTAGGGGAATATGCAACCACCAATTCAACTCTACAGAGAATACTGCAGGATATCCTAAAAAAGAAAAATACGAAGAATCCAGAAATAGTGGCAGAGAGTCCACAATGAATGGAGCAGAAAACAAAATGAAGAAGACAAACTGACAACTAATGACAGAAAAAGAGCTCAACAGAAATGAGGCAGAAAAGATTGGATGATAGAAACAGCTATTTTGGAGAAAATGACGTCTTAATAGGTAATACTGATTTAGTA